CCAGATACAGAAGAATACTGACACCTTGGTTTTCATTTGTATAATAGCTGCCATACTTCTCCCCATAAGGACAAAAAGGGTTTGAGAACAGGGATAGGCAGCATATATTTTGTTCCTTCAGATTTGTTTGTTTGTTCTTCAGCTTTGCTGTTAGCTGGATATTAGAGGTTAGAGAAAACATTATGTGGGAATGTATCCCTTTGAGGTGAAGACAACATTCTTCATATATGTCTTGTTCCTTCAGAAGTGGGGTGGGATGAACTACCTATGACATGGTAGTTTTCAGCATCACCTTTTATAGTAGCTTATTTCATGTTGCAGACTCAAGTCTTTGCAGTTTACTGCCTGCTTCAGGTTTTAACCAGTAACATGGTTAACTGTGCTTCTCCTGTCATTCAACTTCTAAGTTTTGGAAATCATTAAGAAGACATTTTCTGTCTGCCTTATTAGGGCTTTGACTCACAAAGAGAGGGCACAACGAGGGCAGGGAGATGACCGCCCCCAGCTGTCTGGCCCACAGAAACGGCTGAGCTGTTTGGAAACCAGCTGCTAAACTACCATGTCCTATAGAAGAGCATTCTAATACAAATGACCACCTATTCCAGCTTGTCTTACAAAATAGTGCTCTAAACCTTGGTTCACAAATAGCTAGATATTTGTGCAATGGAAGGGAACACTGGACAGCTAGGGTAGTCACTCTATCAGCTGTCCCAAGCTCTACTTCCTTGCTTGTAAATCAAGGCCCCAGCTGTGCTTTGTCAAACTAAATCTCATTGTGCTATTTTCTACTTTTTATTTCTCTGTCCTCACTGGCATTACGAGCCCCTCTCTATTTAACATCTCCATGCAAATCACATAAAGGTACTAAGGCTTTTCCCTCGCCTCGATCAGATGCCAGGAGATCCAGACTCTTAACACCAAGCTCTGTGATTGCCTTTTTTGGTACAAATGCTACTGATATCATTTCTCCCATGGAAAAATATAGTTGAAAAGGGTAAAAGCCAGGTTCATAATACCATGCTCCCATGTCATTCTAGCAGGCAACACTATTAAGAAAATAATCCCACAGGACCTTAGAGGTTATCAGAAGATGCTTGATCAGTAAGTTAATGTGCCCTAGACTCATTGCTTTTAACATCAACAGAATGATCAGGAGAAAAGATAGGATCCCATATCAAACAAGATAGCTTTTCATGCCTCAAGCATGTGGTAAGCAGAGACTGCTGGAGAAGACAGTGAGGGCTTGTACCCTGAGCAGTGATATGGTCTAAACTTATTTGGTCAGATTGCTGCCTACGGTGGTGAAATATGTCCAGAAGGAAAAAAAGAAAAAGGAAGAAGAGAAAAAGTCAAAGGCCTCAAGACACAGACGGTCACTCTACAGAAAAGAGCTTAGCTGACCTAAAAGTGTAGTAGGAATCATGTCCACTCAGCAAGCTCCACACAATAATGAGCAGTGTGATCTAAACAGCTGTGCGCAGCAAGACAATGCTGAGGTGGCTAGGGAACACAAGCATGAGGCCTTTGTATAGACTGAAATGATTTTAATAAAAGGTGCAGTTTTAAACCTATTTAAATAAAAAACAGTGCAAGTTCTTCGTATTGACTTGGTTCTCAAGTTTAGCTTGTTCAATAAGTAAAAGCTATGGAACTATGACTAACTTTAAATTGATTACAGGGAGTCCCCAGGTAGGTGAAAGCTGTATAAATTCCACAGGAAAGAGATCCTATGACCTGAAATATCATGCCCAAAAGAATGTACAATGCAAACCACCACCTAGTGGGAAACAATGGCAAGGTTCTCCTTTTGTCAAGGGAAAGGGCTCATGCAGTTCTCTGTAACACTTCTGCACCATGGTTCAGCAAGTTGTTTGCAGATCAGTCAGGGGACAGCTAAACAATCTTCCCTTGGAGGCAGGGCCTGTTCCACATACAGCTTGTCCTGTTCTGTGAATTGGCTCATAAGCAGTGAAGATGAAATCAGGGACTATATTTACTCTCCCTGCTTGGTCATATCTTTCTATAGATCACAGGCTGGGCCCCTTTTCCTTGGCATGGATGCTAAAGACTAGTAAGCAAAGGAGGGTATAAATCAGAGTCTAGAGTTCTGTCAGGAGTACATTGAACTAACTGTCCACACTGGGAACAGGTGCAGTGAAGGCAAGCAGGGACACTGTCCTATTTTGGGGGTGGGGGTGGGCTGGCAGAAAATCTATTCATTTCTTCTCCCAGAGCCTAGTCTAGACTTTTCACGCTGCACATAAATTATTTACCTTCTGTACCTTATAGATTAAGTTAACTAGAGACTTTCCACCAAAAGTCAGTGCATGCTGAGTCAGACCCCAGTTAAGTGTCCTCTGTTTCTTCAATTCATTCTACTTTGGTTTTGCTTTTGCTCCCATAATTCTCTTATTTCTTTTCCAGTCCATTTCACGCCCTGCTCTGACACATTAACCCCAAAGCTGAAATATTTTAGAGACAAGGGCTATACAGAATGATTAGCAAATGAAGACAGTCTTAAAATACATCTGTTTCATCTGTAATTTTAAGAATCAGCTGTCACAAAAACTAGCACAGACTTACAATGGCGAGGAGCATGTTACTAATCTATCCTTCATAACCATGACAAGGCATAAGGTGGCTTTTCAAGTCAGTTTTAGTTGTTTAGTCATATTTTTAGTTGTCAGAAGCATTGCTTCTGAAAGAAGCAGTCCTACCCTTACCTCAACTATGGCTGCTCATTCCCATCGCCATCATCCCTTCCCTAAGTGCAAGCACAAGCAGTTGTGCAGCAAGGCAGTGAAACATCATGGATCCAAATTAAAATTCGCTTTTTCTCCATTTTTGGCCATGTTAGTTTTAAGCTGGATCAGTTTCCTGGTTTGTTCCATGGCATGGTCATAAAAATATTTGTGCCAGCACAAAGCAGGAACTGATGTCCACATCAGAATGCTGCCTAGCCTTAGGGTGATCAATCACCCTCAACACAGAAGTGTAGTTCTGTAATCAATTTTCTGTCACAGCAAAGCAGGTTCAAGATACTGCTACCTTCTGCCTTCCTTGTTTCCCATGGTGCAACATACTGTTTCTCCCACTGTGTCAGCCCAACTGTTTTTATAGTTATGTTTAAACCTGATCATAAGATGCAAGCTGAGGTGGGCAGAACTTCTTCTGACGTTTCAACTGACATTTGATATCTGGTAGCCTTGACCCATTCTGGGTCATCACTGCTGCCATCTACACGTAGATACCTTGGACAGGGATACCTTGGCTTTGAGGGCCACAGTGAGCTGAGCTCACTTGGAGTCTCTGCTGTGAGAGAACTTAACTCTAGAACTGGGGACTCATGAGCTGGACCCACCACAGCCTAAGCTGAGCTAACGCAACCAAAAAGACAAGTTTTTCTTGAAGTTTGCACTTTGAGGTCACTCAGTGCAAGATGAGAAAAGCACTAGATGTGGTAGAAGAGCGAGGGCAAGAAAGGGACTTTTGCAGAAGAGAAAGGCTGAAACCATGGCAGTCAGCAACTCATTCACCTTGGACTGCTAAGGAACCACAGCCTCAGCAGGAACTATGGGAAAACATCAGAAGATAACTGTTCCAATGATTTAGCTTATCATCTGCCTGGAAAATAGCCAAGTTATCAGCCTAGACCAAAGTGGAATTTGGCTTCAAGTTTACTGCTATAGCCAAGGCAGCTAGCCCAGTCCAAAACTATCACAAAATCTAGATCAGCAGTTTTGCTTGTGTGGATGAGAAAAAGATATGGAAAGAACCTAACTAAACTCTGCACTGAGGATGTTCTATACACATATAATTATGAGTATGCACCCACTTAAACCATCCAGTGTAGATAAGACCTTGTAAACAAGACTTCATCCAAGCCACCATAGCAATCTACAGCACTCTATTCCCTAGCTGAGGGAACAATGACCTGATGGGTTGGACAGAAACCAGTAAATTGATGTGTGAAGTGGCATGGTGCTCCCATGATGGGGCCTGTAGAGACACATAGATTCAATAAATTGTAAAGGAAGAAAAAATTCTGTGTAGCTGGGGCAGCAGAGGGCTGTTTTCCACAAGATTATTGCAAGTGCAATGAGAAACAGTTTTAACCTTGGACTTTCACCCAAAGATTGTGCACTCTCAGCCTCTGCTTTGCTTTTGAGTCACATAAGTACCAAGTGTCTCCTTCCAAACTAAACAATCCAGCCCAGACCTGCTTTCTGTGGACAGCAGCAGGAGAGAATTTTTAACAGCTGTGGAATGGGTCAAAAATCACCTCTATCACCTAGAAGTTGGCTTCTGCTGCAGCTGCAGGCCAGTACTTCTCTGCTCTAGGATAGGCTAGCATGCGAGCTGAGAACAACTCACAGGTGACAGACATTCATGCCAGTGCTGTAAGAAGGCAAACTAGAGTGAAAGAGAGCAGCCAGAGGGGTCTGGTTTCTGCTCAGACTTGTTCCTTTAAGTGTAGGTAGCTCAAGAACTGTATATGCTTGTACATCACCAGCAGGGCCATTCAGGGGTTCAGGAGCTCAATCTGTGACCTTCAGCACCAGAAACACAGGCCTTTACCAGTTAGGATAACAAGAAGGTTAGAAAGAGCAGTAGGACATACCTTACAAGATGTACTTATTCACATCCATGCAGCCATTACATTATACTTATCCAAAACTCAGCTCAGCAGCATGCCTAGCTCTGGGATCTACCTTCTTGGTTCTCCCCTGAAACAGACACCCTTTAACTTAGGATGTTTTTGATCTGGTGAGTGTGTGGGTTTCTGTTTGTGGCAGAGGGTGTGGGGGGGGGTGTTAAAATCTTATGCTAGTTAAAAGCTTAACTGACTTTCCTGAATGTAACTTGGAGTGACCACCTGCTTCTATTGGGAATATCCCAAGAGGAAGGAGCTCGTTCAGACTATCATCTGGTATAAGGCAAGTGACGTGCACAGAGCAGGTTATCTGAGGTATTGTGATGTGCCCCTTCTTTCTCCTTACCATACATCTTGCCTTCGTCTGACAAGATAATCTTCCGCCGTCCACATGGTGGGTAGATGGCTAGCGCTTCCTGGAAGCTCTGCTCAATGTCTGGACTCCATACACCCTCAGCATCATTGTCAATTGGTTTGTCCAAGGCCTCACTGCCCCCTGAGTCGTTGCTCCCCTCAGGGGAGGTGGGAGAACTCCACTCGTTGGAGGTAATGGTGCCAGCTAGAAACTCCAAGGTGCCACGTGGAGAAGCAGACTCAGAACCTGCGATGACAAACACATGCCATCTTTCAGTTAGAAATCCTCCTCTCTAGGAAAACAGAGTAGATACTAAAGAAAAAAAATTAATAAATACTCAATGAAGAACCTAGGTGTGCATGAATTGGCCTTCCCAAGAATGGAGCACTTCAATTAACAACAGCAGAGTTCTACCAAATGCAGAGTTCTGTCTCAACAGGCTGTATCCCTCTGCTCTATTTTAAGATTCAAACACACAACTGAATAATGAAAACAGAAGAAACAGAAACAGAAGTCCACCAGCTTGGCATAGCAAACAACTATGTGTGCTCCTAACTCGTATCTCATGTGAGCTTTAAGTTCTTCCACCACGGCTTAAACAAACGCATTTTACTTCACTTTTACCTTAAATGGTAACTCAACCACGTGCTTGATTTCATTACTGTTGAGATGAGAGCCTTTTCTTCTGCAGACCCTTCTTCTAGAAGAACCTGCTCCTGTATCTCTTTGGCTCACTAACTCTACATCATTTTCCAATTCCCTTCAAAAACCTTCGTCTCTTAGTTTCCTTCTCCCTCTTATCTTTGTAATCACATTTAACACTCTGAAGCATGCATTCAGTCTGGGTGAACGACACCACACAAAATAAAGCTGTGATGAATTATCTAGTCATCACTGAGCTCTTTCTTAGATACTGTTTCACTGGACTGGAGTTAGTGGTCAGTGTCATTTTAACACTGACATTTCTGCTTCTTAAGGGTCAGCCGCACTTTTAAAAAGTGGTTCCTGGAGCCATGCAGTTTAATGGAACGTCTCCCAAACATCAGCATTATACTCTGGCAGGGACAGAAGGCACTCTGAGTTAAAGGATAAAGGCCCTGGGTTGCAGGTCAAGAATCTTGGGTGCTTAGCTTGTTTCTACCACTCATCTTCAGAATTACCTTGGGTAAATCCCTTATAGTTCTCCACAGCTCTCTACCCCTTTATCCTTTACAGGGCTTGCCAGTGGACAGGAGTAGAAGCTGGGTTCTACTTGAACCTAAGTAGGCAGCTGCTAGCTCTTGAAAACTACAATGAATTATAGTCTACTTGTAAACCTCTGCAATAAGACAGAAGTTATTAACTGGAGCTGCTAAAACTGTGATTCAGAAAACACCTCTGTACAATACAGATGCTTCCAGCCAATCATACAGACAAGTGTCTTCTATACATCTCGACCATTCACCTGCTTCCATCTCAAAACTGTTTACCTTTTCAATAGTTTTATTATCTGAGCCACAAAGAAGATTCACTAACTAACAGCTAACCTCATGAAACAAAATAAGAGAGCTCATGTCTTTCCTGTGTATCACCACACTGAGCTGAGTAGCAAGGAAAACACAATATGACTTTTTTGCAAAAGCAACAGAATCACCAAGAGCTCAGATATGCCAAGACAGACTAGCTCAGAAATATCACAGTGATGATGATAAAGGGGACTAAGGAGAATACTGGGCATGGTCTACATGGAAAAATAGCTAGAATAATATTAGTACAGTTATGCCAAACCCTAGGTGGTAAAAAGATAAAGCAGATCCATTCAGTCAATCTCAAATTTTCAAAAATTCAGGGCTCAGGCATCCAGAAACTCTCATGACATTGACTTAAAAACATTACATCATGGGCTCCTTTTTTACTCTCTGTATTGTTTCTAACCTCTTTGAATTTCATGGTTTGCAAACTTTTCTCCAAGACCATTATTGGCTAGAATTTTTTTTTAATAAAAGCTGAAATTCTCACAAATTTTATCATTTCTAAAGCTGAAACTGTAAAAGGTTGTAAAATGTTGGTAACACTGGTTCTCATAAGGTTCTGCTGCTCTTTAACGACTTTAGACAGCAGCAAATATCTATTTTACATCTCCAGAACTCACCATAAGCTCAGGAAACAAGTAAGATAACAGTGGGCATTTGTATAATAAATTTTTGGATGCAGCATACTTCTCACATCATGGTGCAGAGTATTAACAAGTGGTTTGGATGGAGATTCAGAAAATCCAGTATAAGACATTTCCCCTGTTAGGATGTTTGGACTATATGAACCACTGGTATTGCCTACCACCATCAGTCCATTTTAATCCCGACATTATATTATTTTAATCCTCTTGACCCATGCTATACATTATCAGAACCATAATAAATGTGGGAAAGAAATAAAAACTGGAGGTGGGGTGGGAAGGGGAGCTCAGACTTGATCTTTACCACTGGGACAGACATCTGAAGCACACTATGAATGGCACCAAAGCAGGCAGTGTGGCTTTAAGAGGCCCTGAAGTAAATGATAACAGTTGCTTCCCTCACCAAGCATTTATCGACAATATTCTCCCTTTTATTGGTAGATGCTCAACACACAATTTGTGTGGGTATTCGAGAGATTCTGCTGCTGGGGAAGCAGAGAGTAGAGGAGTAAGTTTCCACATGGAGACTCAGACACAGGAAGCGAAACAGAAGCTACCTATTTCAGCTGTTCTTTTGACACTTCCCCAGGCATCCCTAGTCCCTCGTGGCTATCCACATTCTCCATATTTAATGCACATTAAAATCTCCACAGATACAAGGCACAAACTAGTTTTAACTCAGGTTGACAGACTGAGAAATGGAGGGGTGCAGAAAGAAGCCTAAGGTTTGACATAGGAAACGTATTCATACTACAACCAGCACAGGGAGCTGCAATTCTCAAAACAGTCATCAGGATCTCCACCAAGTGAAAACATACTCTTACTGCTCAGCAGTAGGACTTCCAAAGCCATGGCCACTGGGAAGCTACAGCTACTGCTCTCAAGAGATGAATCCCCCAGCAATGCGTATGAGCAGACAAAATCATGTCCCAGGCAACGTATGGCCATCAAACATAAAAAGAACCCATTTTGAACCAAGTTACTTTAATTACAATGCCCTTGCAGAAACGGATGAACACCTAGCAGACAATTTGAGCAAGGTGTGCTCTATGCTGGAAACTTAACAAATACATCCAGTGTATTACTTTTGTTTTTGCCTCTGCACCCACACTCTAGAAGTTGCTGCCTGATCATTTCATTTTTATAAGGCTTCAGAGTTGTACCAACCACCTTCAGTGACAGAGGAGGCTCCTAGTCCTTTCCGGTCCAAGCTCCAAAATAAGTAGAGGAGGAAACACATGCGGTATGCAGTACACTGTAAACTCCCAGGACTCTCTTCTCCAAACACAAAAGAAAAGTTGCACTGACTTCAGCTGAAGTTGTTTCAGTATTCAGAATATCCGAGCCTTATCTCACACTGGTCTAAACCAAGGGAGATGGGGAACATAGAAGCAATGAGAGAAGAAACGGGATTAATCTTGAAGTGACTAGATGTATTAAAAAAAAAAAAAAAAAAAGGATCTTCTCACTTTTCATCCTAGATCAGCAATGTTAGTTCTAGCCCAGTTTACACCTAGGTCAGTAAACACTGATTTCTGCTATCATGGCCAATCCTAACTTCTCTATACCTTGTAGCCTGATTCTCCTCTGCCTTCTTGGCACTAAAGCTATTCCTGACTGATGGTGAGGAAAGTGGAATTGGGTGGAGTGTAAAATCAAGCAGGATGTTTGGCCACCTCTGTCTGAAACATCAAAAATCACTAGTACTCTAAATGGCCTTCTTTCTGACAGCTGAAGAAAAACAGCCACAGATTGAAATGACCATGAAAATTTCTGGGTCTGTAAGGTGCTAGGGGCTTTAAGGGAATGTTTCATGTTAAGAAATTAAAGGGTCTGTGCAGTTTTCTTAAATAATTTTGCTCAAATAGTATGCTTTATTTGAGCAAATAGTATGCTCTATTCTATATGAACTATACCACCCAGCTCAGACATAAGAAACACTAGCATGGCTAAATTTGGACAGATGCTACCTGGGTCTGTAGCTCTCTTCAACTGAACACTGCAGGCCTTCTGTGTCCTAGACTGTTGAACAGAACTTTGAACTGGTCAAAGTGGCCATTTATTAAACCAGGCAAAGCAAACCATAGAGAAGCTGGGGGCCAAACTCTATGGTAAAAGGGTTTATTAGCATGGCAAGGCAAAAAAACTGTCAGTGGAATCACTTTCCATCAGAAAAGGAGTCTGGTCAGAATTAGAACATTTATTTAAACCTTTCCTATTAATAATATATTTAACATAATATTCAGTAATGTCTAACTACTTGCTTTTTAGTATCTAGCTTTCAGTTTGTTTCTATTTTCCTATTCATTAATAATGATACACATACAGTTTAGTAACTTTAATGGTGTTTTGTATTATTGAGTGTTCTAGTATCACAAGGCATTTTAGTATTTGTAAACTAATTTTTAAAAATATTTCTGCTGGTAGAAGAGTTTATAACCACAAAGTCTTCTTCTGATGGAGGACGAATCTGATTCTGAAAGGGAGTTTCTTCGCTAAACAGACGTTCCCGTTCCCAGGCAGACTCAGCCAAATCTGAATGCCCTGGCTAGCCACAGTTCTTTTGGACAATAATCTCTGACTCTGCTGATCCTCTCTCGTAATAGCAAACTTTGCTAGAGCTTCCAGGCTTGGTGTTCTCTTTAGATTCTCTCAGTTTTAACCTTCCTCTCCTTTTCTTGGCTCTTGCATTTCTGGTCTTGTACCTTATAGGGATTCTTATTCTGATCCTATTCTTTATTATTTTACTGAGAGATGATTAACTGTCTTTCTTTGTGGACTCCAGTCATGCCCTCTCTCCAAGGAGCAAAGACAGTGGCCCCTCACAACACCTCCACCTCATCACCACAGTGTCTCTACTTCCTTGTTACATTCCCCTCTGTTCAAACATTCTCTCCTTCTTGGTCCCTGTACTTCTTTCTGCCATGACCCATCTTTAATTCGAAGCACTCACAATGGCAGCCTTTTGGGTCAGAGGAAAGGAAAACCACAAAGAACAGCACAAAAATCTTTCAGCTCCAGCAGCTTTGGTTTAATTGTTCTGGTACTAATAACTATGATGCTAGCTCTCTTCCCTCTCACACATGGCATC